AGAATGATTAATTATGGTCGTGTCTTCCCAATTCGATTTATGGAGAAAAGGGCAAATCTATGGTTCTGCAACTCAAAACGCAGCACTAAATGTTCATTAAACTTTTTCCATCTTCCGATTATTCGAATAACCATAACCGGATCCAGGCAAGAAACACGTAGGGAATAAAAACCTCGAAATGAGGCATCTACAAATCTGGGTTAGGCTGTCTGATCGAACATTACCTTGCTCCATCCATCATGCTTCTAACTCAAAGGATCGTATGAAGGTGTGTAGGCACTGACAATGTCAGCGACAACAGTGTTTAATGGTGCCTTACGTTCTACATACAGGCATTCAAACCACTCTCATCAGCTTTTCGTTAACAGCATTGTGTAACTCATTGTCTCTTTCGAGTTTTGTACATGGTGATTAGTTGTCGGTGGGCTCAAAAAATTGATTTAAAAGCAAATATCATTGCAATTCGTTAAAGTTACTATTCTAACTCCCATTTGACCTTTGCTGAATCGCTGCTTTAGGATCACTGTCGTTGTTTTATTTGTGCCATGAAAGAGTTACGTAGTAGATGTGTGTGCTGCTTTTGAGGATAAATGTAGACTTGCGCAAGGGATCAGTAGAGTCAGGTTTTAGTTTTAGGATTTTCATGTGCTTGACAAGGTAGACTTACGAAATACCGATTTTAAATCACATCATTCTAATATGAGACCCCATCTCAAATGCTACAAAATGAAATAGCTTTAACAGCATCAATAAAGTTCAGACTTTGTAGTTTAGCTAATGCAACACCATGGCAATATCACCCATTATAAGCCTATTGTAATGGTAATAATTATTTTTAATGATGGTGACTAGCACTACTTGTCTTCGCAGTCACGCGTACCTATACTTCATAGAACAGGCCTTCTGTAAATGGTTAAAATTAAATGGGATTAATGGGATGGAACTCACGTCGATCATCTCGATGTTGCCGCTGTTGACAGCTAAGTGAAGAGCAGTCTCACCCTCACTATCGGGTAAGTTGATGAGGTGAGTGTCAATAAATTTAATTGCTCCCTCCGCATCAACTCCTCTTACGCCCTGTTTTCCCATCTTTGCAGCAGTCTCATACTCCAGCAGAATTTTCAGGCATTCCAGACTACCTGACGCGACTGCCACGTGGATGGGATACTTACCGATTGCGTCCGCCCTGAGTATGTCTGCTCCCATTCCCAACTAAGGCGAAAAACAACGCCCCATTATTGCAGTTTTGCACGATGCTCGATGTGTCCACTTAGAACGTAAGTATAGCGATTATCATCTCGATTGTGCATTCGAAGGCGTAACACGATGATCCTTTATTTAATGACTTGCTTCATCTTTGCTTATTTCAACAGATGACTAATGGAAAAAATTCGCCCTTCCAACTTCGAATTTGTATTTCCTTCGACCTCTTCTTGCTTTTATTCATTTTTTTAAAGTGGCAAAGAGGCGAGCCACTTAGATAAATTGCAGTGCATTTGAAAATGCCGGTGCCAACTTCTTACTTTCCTTAGTTTTAAAATGAAGTCGCTTAAGAACATTAGCGCTGCAAAAGGTGCACTGTTTGTCAATTAATTATGCAAAATGATTAATTATTGAAACCGCCTGACTCTTACTTCAACGTTTAAAATCTCCTGTGTGTATGTGGTAAGTGTATTCAAATCTATGCTTCGAGTTAATTTTATGGTTCATTTAAGAGTATTAGGTACGAAAAAGGCTGATAAAATTGGTTTTCACCTAACTTGAGGCTTTGTTCGTTAATGCAAGGGAGAAAAATGTTAGGCCTACCACAATTTGTAGACACTCAGCGCTGTTCTTCCGGCAGCAACAGTGGACCACAGTGCTCCCAAATTCGCCAGGAGCGTTGATGTCAATGCGTGCTGAGCGAAGAAGTTCCTAGTATCAAGTTAACACACAATTAGGCAGTTCCTTTAAGGGGCTAAAAACTACACAATAAACATAAACACGAGCTATTGTGGCCTCTGTGTCACTGTTCATCCACTTGACAATGGGCTGGAGTTATTTTGGGTGTGTAAATGCTTAAAAACACTAACTAAAATTAAATCTGCACGTAGACTTGACGTTTAAAGAAACTTTCTCTTATTATAAATCTGGTTAATCATTATGCCATTTCGTTTGATAGGTAAATTACGAGTCGTTAAATGAAATGTGCTACTTGGGCGGATCATTTTTATTTTCTACCCACGCTTCAATTGAAACAGTCGGTATTCACTTTGATCTTTTTAGCTACGATGCGAAGATAAAGGGAACGCAAACCGAAGTGGCTCTAAATTAATTAGTACTTAAATTTGATCAAATCTGCATTAAGCTATATTCCAACGTTTAAATAATTTTATACTGTGAATTTTGAATTATTAATTGTGTCATGTTCCGCGTTTTGTGATTGAAGGAAAAAATGTGTTCCCGAAGAACCTTCAGCAAAAAAATTTTTTGGAAAGTAATCTTATGCCAATTACTTAAAAGTGATAGAAATTAAGGGTGGAGAAGATGTCCCCACCTTTAAGGACTCCCCATCATTTAACTCGCAGGCAAGATGGATTGGTTTGGCGCCGCTGTTATTTGCCAATTCAGCGTTACATCCAAGTAAAATGAGGTGGTTCAGCGCTGCCGCCTGCTGCTCCAGTATGGCCAAATGTAGAGGCGTCTGACCCTGACTATTTGGTCGATTCAGGTCTAAAACATCAGTTCAACAGGTCACACCATGGGAACCAACCTTATGAGCGTTATCAGTCAGCCATGTGTATATTTTATGAACAAATTAGGTGCATTTTAAAACAACCCAGGCATAGACATGGAGGTAATCGCGCATCACTTCTCCTAATATCAAGGGCTTTTACTTATAAGAACTGCTGGTACTTCTGGTAGATATTACTGTAACACGATCTAAGAAGTGGCAATAGCTTTGCATTTTGCCAGCAATCTAAGTATTAATAATGGTAATCAGACAGCAGCAAAATGAAGTAGCATATGTTGCTACTTTTTGCTGTTTTATTAAAATTTTAAAAGTTTAGCAGTATTGCTCACTTCCAAAGCATTTGAAAAAATATACCCGTTGTTTTTAAAATATTGGGATACAATTACTTCATAAAGGAAGATAATCCGAGTTCAGGACGTATACTTCACACGTTTGGACCATTTACCCTTTTTGGGACCTATTGGAATGAGTCGAGATTTTGTGCCACCTGGCGTATACAACCAGGACATTAGCTGGGGAACGAAAGACGGCATTGCGAAAACAGCAAAAGTCGGAACACATACCAGCGCCTCTAGAAGCCAGCAAGTCGATGATACGGAGAAAGCCCCTCGAAACTGCATAGTGAATGAGATAGTTCCCTCGGTTATCTCGCATTTCCACCAAGTCAGGTTGTTCCACCAGAAGGTCGAAGAGTTCTCCAGCACGATTCTGGTTCACATACTAAGGATCACGTAAGTTGTTGTACTTTTAATGATAATCTCTCAAAGTAGCAGTTTTCCATGCGGTGTAATTCGCCCGCTCTTTATGTCATAATGTTTGCCTTCTAAACTCGCCTAACTGCAAAGTGACAACACAAGCGTAATTACTTAAGATCTGTAAATTCGATTTCGTAATAGATGTAATTTCAGACCAAGGCACGCATTTCTACTTATATGTGGATGCTTAGCCCATTAAACGTGTGACAATGCTCTCAAATCAACCGAAATGGCCCACCATTATTGCGGAGAGTAATTCCGACCGAGATACTTGGCTGTAGTCCTTGATTGTACTAAAGCAGAAAGAAGCGAAAATTTCGGATCTTGAGCCGTTTGCGCTAGCCGTATCCAAGTCTTCGCCCTCAATGCGCGATCCCCATTTAAGGAGGTTCTCCAATGCGTTGGGCTGGGCCCACGGGCTGCTACGATACGAATGAGATGGTGTCAAATCAGAATCTGATAAACTCTCCTCCGTCGAGTTGGTGTCCGATCGACAATATTGGCGAAGACTGTGTCTCATCGAAAAATTTTCCGAGGTTTCCTGGCTTAGAGGCAATACCACATCGGTTATAGTGATGAGCGGTTTTGAGGGCCTCCTACGGTGAAGCAATGAAGTAAATCGGCATAAGCGAATCGAGCGAATAAGATACGGTATCTTCATACATGGTGCATTGGCACCAAAATGGAGATTAGTTTTAATGCAAGGCTTGGTACGAACGCATTGAGTAAAAATAACGCTTTTGGGTGTTTGATCAATTGTGAGTGGTTTCGTCTAACTTCTTAGCAACCTCACTTCGTGATGTGCAGTATCTATGATTATAGTACAATTCCTTTAATTGCAAATGAGGTATTAAAAGCACAAATACAGTCAAGTGTTGCCGATTTCTTCATTGAAGATATACAAGAGCATTAGTGCAATGATATTATTGTAAGGACGAAGTTTGCTACCTCAGAGAGGGATCCGGTTTGCTTTGCATCCTTTCAGCGGAATTTAAAATGGTTTACTATGCGGCAAGAGGTCTATGAGCGGTAGTATGCAAATCGCTGCAGCCAATGGCGTCTCAGATTGTCTTGCAATAATGCACCTTACCACCCTGCAAATAATGGACACATTGGCGCCGTGAGCAATTATGCTGACCCTGTGGAGCAATGTCTACACCAGCTGCATATCATTCTGACTTTTAGATCACTATGCAACCCCATTCTTATCGAAATTTTCTCTTTTGTCACCTGATTTTTCAAGGTTGAAGAGTCCTAGAAATCCATCAAATTAAGCTTTAGGGTTAAATCTAAACCCCTTTGCTTATTTATTTGGACGTCAAATGAAATAGTTTAGCGTCATAGTATCCATAGTCAAGGCTATGGGACTGGCTAACGTTGACTGGAAAATACATATAGGACCTGCCTACCTACCGTCAGGGCCCTGAACCTAGGACCTCATAAGAGGGTCGGTTGAGGAATGTTTATTTGGCGCCATGTACAGAAAAAGGAAATGGGGAAGAATTGATGAGATGCCAAGCCGATATCACCCTGGGGGTACCTCTTCGCACTCCTCAAGAACGCGGTTCGTGTTTGCTTTAACTAACCGCCTCTGCTCTATAATAATAACTTAAACACATTAGTTTATATTTGCGATAAATAGTGTGATGCTTTCAGACCCTCCCAAAGACAAAGAACTATGATATTTTTGTTGATTATGGGTCGTACAAGTTCGGTGGAAAATGGAGCCACCGCCATGCCTCTGAGGCCAGACAACGCAGCAGAGACGAATTGGCGGATTTTGTAAATGGGCAAACAAGTAGTTAACATGTAACAAGTGCAGAACAGAATAATTGGGATCTTAGTGACACAGCTTCCTAGTATAAGCATCCAAAGCAGGACTAAAGAGGCTGGGAACATAAACATTGCCAATAACCGTAACAAAAAAGGAACGCATTAAAAAAGAGGGCAAATGGCTTAAGTCTAAACCGTAGACTTCAGGCATAGTAATTAAATCGATTCAGAACTATAAAGTCATCTAGAGTGGTCTACTAGTGAATTAAACACAGTTGAAACCAATGCCTTACACGTTCCACCGCACTTTGAAGGCATAGCGGTGCTTTTTGGACCAGAAGATAAACCAGGTGTCTAAAAAGTTTGAGGAAAAACTCACTGAAGGTGCTGTGAATAAACGTATCTCCAAAAGACGCGTTTTATTGTTTTGGAATGCAAAAATAAAATTATTTGATTACATGGAAGGCATAAATATTATACCTTTTAACATCTTCTACTATAAGTCAACCGGTATTAATGTAGGAAGCTGGATTATCTAGATCACGTGAAATAAGGCATAAGTGAGGCAACGTTTAACGGGGTTTTAATGGCATTGATTCATGTATTCAAGATTATATAATTTGATATGAGTATTGCGATACGAATCGTGCTGCTTCTTAGTGAGCAGAAATTTTACTAATCCATCCTATCAAAACAGTAATTTGCCTTTATTTTCTATTTGTAAAAGGTAGAGCTTAATGGCATATGAAACCACATCACTGTTGTAGTGCTACTAATAGCATTTGAGTAGCATTCTATAAATTTGGGTTCATAATTATTGCAATTTAAATTGCTGGCCATTAACACTCCAAGGAACAATGGGTCGGTGCTATTCATAAAAAAGTGACTATTCGCGAGATACCACAATGATAATCTGAAGCGTCAAAAAGGTCCTTACTGTAATTCGCTGACGACTCAATGCCGGGATTTGAAGTTCTTCATGTCAAGTTTTATTTCATATTATAAGGGGATTAGTTTTGCGTTAGCTTATCCACATGATGTCATTTTAAAACTGTTTTTAAGGGATTAGCCTGGCGAAACAGTATTGTTTATTATTCTTAAAAATCTCGAGAACTTAACGCCGCAATCATTTAAAATAATCGTGACTCAGTAATCATTAATGAGTAACATTCGACCTATCTATTGACAAGAGAAGTCACAATACTCAAGTAAATAGATAAATCATTAAAGGAAAGGACATGAAGGCTTTTAGAACAAACCAGTTCGGACAATGTGCTTAATTGCGTGACTTCATTTGGAACCGATGATTATACAGCATTGAACTGGCTGAAAACTTTAACTACTCCTGCCATTTCCGTACTAGTAACCTAACTCAAATCATTTTATTCTTTATAATTTTTAGGTACCTTCGAATTTGCAAGTTATGTGACTACTCATTCATGGTTTTGGAATGTCGATTTTCATTTTAGTACTTAATCTATTAATTACCCATCCTTGAGCATATTGCAATAAGGTGTAGCTTACAGTCAAGATAATCACAGCATTCCGTCCACTTTCTACAACTTTGAGCTTATGCTGTCCCATATTAGGCATAAATATCTGTGGGATGATAAGTTTTTCCTTTCCTTCAGCGGCTATCCACTTTTAATGAATTTCATACCTTTAAGTGAATCACCGATTGCTATTAAAAATATGAAACTCAGGATTCCTCCACGGAAGAGCTGTGGATAAATTGAGCATGGGTTTTGTGATATTCAGTCAATTATAATAAGAAGCTAAGTACTCTCAGAAAATATCTCCATGCACCTCGCATACGCCCTACAGACTGCTCCCGTTTTTCGCCCTAGACAACCTTTGCGTGGATTTGACAGTGTTAAGAGATTGCTGTATAAAATATTTGGATTTTATTTTGTAAATTCGTCTTCTTTCAGTCAAAATCCTAAGTATTCATACAAACGTGGACAGATATCGAAGATAACAGTGACAATGGGGCTCGTCCTCTAATTCGAGCGGTGATTAGAGAACAAGAGCTACTGTAGAAGCTATCGCATGCATATGAAATTGATAGTTCTTTGTTCTTTTAATCATTTTAAAGGCGCATTATTATTTCAAGTCTACGGTATCTAGGATAATAAAAACAGACTAACAAAAATGGGAAAAAACCATAACCATTTGTACCACATTTTATTTTACAAGCGAGACCAAGCTATCTCTAATTTTAAATCCCAAAGTTGATGCATTTGGAATTTTTAATCATATTTCCTATAAAATTGCATTTGCAAGAACTCGGACCCGTGTATCATTATTTAGGCCTGACGATTGTGCACGATTTGTTTACAAAGGAGTGTTTATTCCATCCTTACTGCTATGAATCCGCATGTCTGGTAAACCAAAATTACTTATTCAGTGTTCAACAATGGCGTTTACGAAGTTTAGGAATTGTTACATGAACATTCAAACCTTCATCGCCTTCTTCGATTTCGAAACACGAAAGGCAACCATTGGTCATAAAAGTGGCATAATATGGAGAAGTTAATGCACCGCCGAG